CACCGCCTGTCCAGTCACAGTCGCAGTTACAGCCAGCCTCTCCACTGCCTGGTCCTTCTCCTTACTCTGGACCGACTAGAGGTCTTATGGAGCGTCGTGAGTCTGAGTCTCGTCCTGCGTCGCCTGAGTCTCGTCCTACGTCACCCGAGTCTCGTTCTGAGTCGCCTATTCGCGCTGTTCCCACTGGTCAACGTGTTCCGCGGCAGCGCCCTCCTCCTGTCCCCGGCACTCACTATATGACTCTTCTTCCTTCCAGTGCTCCACAGCGTGTCCCTCTGCCGTCTCCTCCTGCGTCCTCTCTTCCTGACGGTCCGGACCCAGAGTCTGACTCCCTTCGTGCTGCTAGTCCTACTGTCACGCGTTTTCTGGCCGCTGTTGTCACTGACCCTTCGTTTGAGTCCACTGCTGCGTCTGCTCTAGTTGCTGAGCTTGTTGACTTTGCTTCCGCCTGTCGTCTAGACTACGCCACTAGTCTTGTTGCTGAGTCTGAGTCTGCGTCTGTCTGTCCTCCGTGCGTCGGGGGTGAGTGTGCTCTTGGCACGGACGTCCTTGAGGACAGACAGGAGGAGTTTGAGTGCTTTACCGCTGCTTTACCTCTGCTTTACCTCATGCTGTTTGCCCCTGAGGGAGACCCGGATGCACCAGACATCCCGACCCCGCGCTCTTACGCAGAGGCGATAGAGGGTCCCTACTCCTCTCAGTGGCAGATAGCCATGGACACAGACATGGCTTCCTGGAAGTCCACAGGCACCTACGTCGACGAGGTTCCCCCACTTGGGGCGAACATCGTCAGTGGCATGTGGATTTTCAGGGTGAAGCGGCCGCCGGGTTCTCCGCCTGTCTTCAAGGCGCATTACGTTACACGAGGCTTCAGTCAGCGACAGGGAGTTGACTTCTTTCAGACCTTCTCCCCTACCCCGAAGATGACCACTCTTCGGGTGCTGCTGCACGTCGCCGCTTAGCGTGACTACAAGCTACACTCTCTTGACTTCAGCACAGCCTTCCTACAGGGCAGCCTGCACGAGGAGATCTGGCTGCGCCGCCCACCTGGCTTCACTGGGTCGTTTCCTGCAGGTACCCAGTGGAGCCTCCGGTGGCCAGTCTACGGTCTTCGCCAGGCACCTCGTCAGTGGCACGACACACTGAGGACGACTCTTGCTGCTCTTGGGTTTGCTCCTTCCACTGCAGACCCATCGCTGTTTCTACGCACCGACACCACTCTGCCGCCGTTCTACGTTCTCGTGTACGTAAACGACTTGGTCTTTGCTACTGCTGACACTGAGGCACTCGCCCACGTGAAGTCGGAGCTGCAGAAGAGACACACGTGCACAGACCTGGGTGAGCTGACAAGCTATCTTGGCTTGCGGATCACCCGGGACAGAGCATAGCGCACCATTACCTTGACTCAGTCACACAGGGTGCAGCAGGTCCTTCAGCGCTTTGGCTTCACGTACTCCTCGCCACATTCCACTCCTCTTCCTACCGGTCACTCGCTCTCAGCTCCACCTTCGGACGAGTCCGTAGAGCCGAGTGGCCCGTATCCAGAGCTTGTGGGCTGCCTCATGTACCTGATGACCTGCACTCGACCTGACCTTGCCTACCCTCTTAGCATTCTAGCACGCTGTGTTGCTCCTGGTAGACACAGGAAGGAGCACATGGATGCAGCTAAGAGGGTGTTGCGCTACCTGTGCAGTACGTCGGGCATGGGGCTCGTGCTTGGAGGACGGGCTCGAGTTGTCCTCACTGGTCACGCAGACGCTTCTTGGGTTGACGACTTGGCTACGCAGTAATCGTCACAGGGTTACACCTTCAGCCTTGGCTCCGGCTCTGTCTCTTGGCGGTCTACCCGCTCGTCTTCTGTTCACAGCTCCAGTTGTGAAGCTGAGATCTACGCAGGGGCCATGTCTGCACAGGAGTTACGCTGGCTCACCTACCTGCTGACCGACCTGGGAGAGCCGCCTCGTTCTCCTCCAGTGTTATACGTCGACAATAAGGCCATGATTGCCTTGTGTCAGGAGCACAGAATGGAGCACAGAACGAAGCACATCGCTCTGCGCTACTTCCTTGCTCGAGAGTTGCAGCAGCGTGGTCAGCTTCGTCTTGCTTACGTGGCCACTCGGGCCAACACTGCTGATGTTTTCACCAAGGCACTTCCGCCTTGTGATCATCAGCGTTTCTGTACTATTCTAGGCCTTGTACCTACTGTGCCTCACTTGCTTACTTCCTGACTCTGCTTGTACTGTGATCTCTATACATATACCTGCATGCTTACACTTGCTAGGTTGTGTTCACTGTATTGCTTGTTCTCCTTTATATAACTCTGCATGTGAACTGGCCTTGTGGCCATTTGCTTGTGCTCAGACTGCGTGGTGACGTCGTGATCCACCCTGAGCTTGCTTTGCCTTTCTTGACCGGTCTTGTGACCTCTTGTTCTCCCCACTTTGCCTATGGGGGTGTGTCAAACTTATATGCTATAGTATGTCTAGGCTGTAGTGGGGTAGTTCATATAGGGTACAACACTTTTAGGTTTCCTACTTGTACCCATTTGCTTGCTAGTTTTGTCATTCCTTTATTCACTATTCTGACAATAATCAGTGTATCGGTGTCATTTATAATAATAAAATAAGGCCTGCCTGGCACGCGTAGTCTACTTGGCCTCAGGGGCCATTATACTTGATATCTTCGCCAATGCGCTCCTGCTCTGTGATCACCAACGGCTCTGCATACAGCTTGGTCTTGTCCTAGTAGGTCCTTGTTACTGTCTTGATCTCTATATACTGTACTTGTTCTGATTTTGTATGATTATACTTGTTCAGTAACCTTGCGGCTCTTTTTCCGATAGGCTGGGCTAGTACCACCGCCCTGGGTTGTACCCTCATATGCAGTGTTGTTCTTATTGACTGGCTTTGTGGCTTCTTGCCTTAGAGGTTGGACTAGTCGTGCCGCTCTAGGTTTGTTTCTCATCTCTCAAGCACTGCCCCTAACTTAGCGTAGGGGTTGTGTCAATGTATACTCATATAGTTATAAGTGTACATTGTTTGGATTGTATTGAAGAGGGTATGGGTTGCTACTTGTACCCCCCTATATGCCTCATTCTTGTCATTCTTTACATCGTGCAGACCGTTGCTTGCTCGCACGTTCCGTCTTTACCGAACCTTGTTTCGCCAAATACGGCCGAGTCGACCATATAATGGGATAACATCCTGAGCCTAATGCCAGCACTAGTCCGTGCATTAATATAATAATTTCCATTAATATGTGTTTGTTGATAAATCCAAGGGATCGAAGGATTAGGATAAGACCAACTAAGTTTAGAAGAAGACTAGAAAGTCTTGAAAGGACCTTGTTATAATAAGTTGAAAGTGAACAAGATAAATAAAGATAGAGATACAAGGAGTTCAAATAGCAATCCTAGCTAGCTATGTACTCCGAGGGGTATATTCCCTTATTTGCTGTATTGCATTGCTACACCCGTGACAATTGCTATACTCGACAGTGACCGGTTGCATCGCGTAACCTCCGAGTACGGTCACTGTGTGGTCAACACTCGCGACATTTGGCTTCCAGCGAATATTGACCTTCGCGTGGCTCTCTGACCTCCGCTTGCTCTACATGAGCTATCGCAGTACGGTATTTTGTACAACTGCGTTGCTTCGTTACGAAACGTCACGTTAAGGGAGAACCTCCGGTTGTTCCAACACTCCCATTCATTCCTGAAGGTGAGCCACGTGGGATCTCTTCGAGATCCCGCAGAGGTTGGCGCAGTGCTGAAACTTCTGACATGGCAGCTTTGTTATCAGGAATTCCGCTGCCATGTCACCAGTTAAGCAATACATGAGTGTGACTTTACCCTTGTCAATCTCGTCATTGACGAAGAAGTAACGGATTGCGATGTGATTCGTGCGGTTTACGAAGTCAGGCTTGTTCGCGATTTTTATCGCGCTCTGGTTGTCGCGATATGGATTACGAAGCCAAATATGGTTCTACGAACAACTAATTTTATACAAGATTTGCTGGTTCCTTATATTCATGTTATGTTTTAGCGAATCTCGCTTTGAGAAGGGTGCTTCAGCACAGTTTTGTCGCTAGCCCATCAAAGTCTCCTTTCAAATCGCCTCAGGTGTCTGTCTTTGTCAAAAAAACCCCTCCGCTCAGTCGTTTCTTGTTTGTGCCCAAGGAAACCTGCGACTCGAGTTTGCATTCACTGCCGATGTCCATGGGAATCGTCAGGGACTTTCCAGAACCCGCAATCTATTTATGTCGTTGAAGCAAGTCAAGCGTGCAGTTCCAGGGCAGGGAATCGAGATGCAGGTTTGTTGAAGGGCAGGAAACTGTCTTCAGTCCGAACTAAACGGAGGTGTTGAATGCTGCTTCACCCAAGAGTTCCGTGTAACGGAACAAAAACACCAGAACTACAGAACCAAAACACGAGGACGCGCTCCCATCCAATTCCCCTGACGGAGCAGTGCACATACAGTGAAACGAACGAATGGGCTGCTCCGTACATAACGGCAGCAGTTTCTTGGATGCCTGGTCAGGTATGTCTTGGTTCCACAATTGTCGTTTTGTGTTGTTTGTCTGCCGGGCGCAGACCCTGAACAGTCTCCACACAGATCGTTTCTCGAGGGCCGTGTCCTCTCTGCGCCAAACGACATCTCACCTAACCCATCTCATCTTGTCAAAACTCCCGTCCCACATTTCAACTCAGCAACCATCACAAGCTTGACGAACCTCTTCCCCATCAGCTAGGGATTAGCTGTGCAATTTCTGTTCAGCTTGAACGTGGTGTCTAGCATCTGGAAGGCGCGATTTCATTTCTTAGTTGGTATACGGAAATCTAGGTCTACACAGGGCACTTTGATTTACTGATCGCTGCCGTCATGGAGTTCCGGCGTGGTACCGTGCTGCTCGTGGCTCTCATTGCCTTGGCCTGCGTCTCCCTATCATCCGCCCAATGCGTGAAGGACTGCCCCCCACTCTACGGTTTATGCTCGCAAGGCATGTGCAACAACTCTGCCGGTATCTTTGGGAAATACGTTGTCCCTACCGTCAACTGCTCCCAGACTTACCCCACCAGCCCCAACAAGCCGTTCTGCGGTGGAGCGTCTGTGAAGCCCATCACATGCTGCAACAAGTGCGCCAATCTTACCGCCGGATCCCTTGGAACTGCCTTCAGCTGCGCGTTCTGGATGCACGTCTCTACTGGCCCGTAAGTTCTATGAACCGCTGAGTCTGTTCATATAGCTTCAGTTTCCAACTGCATCTGGTTTGGCTAGTTGTGTTGCTCCTCTAATCCTGACATTTTTTTTCCCTTTTTTTTCTTTTTTTTTATACCTTCATCGCAGAAGCGGGAGCTGTTCCGATTCCCTGTGTGGCAAGTGCATCCTCTTCCCCTCTGGTACTATTCCCTCGTGCAACGGTACCCTTACGTGCGCTCGTATCGGCAAGGCTTGCCCATTCACCAAGAACGACCCGCACTTCCTCGGCGCGCACGGCACGCGCTTCGAGTTCAACGGCTCACCGGACAAATCCTTCTGTCTGCTGACGGAGCAGAATGTCCAGGTGAACATGAAGATGCACGGGTACTACGACAAGCGCACGATCGGAGCGTCGGTTCTCGTTAACGGCATGGCGGTCCGCACCTGGATCCGCGAGCTCGCTGTGATCTGGCGCGCCGTGACTGGCGGCGAGGAGCACAAGCTGCTCATGGTTGCGCGCAAGGGTAAGGACCAGGAGCGCGAGGACGGTTTCATCGATCGCATCGAGCTCGACGGGGAAGTGATTCCCAAGATGCAGGTCGGGGAGACCAAGACTCTTGCCGGGGGTCTCGCCATCACTTTCACTGGTTACGCCAAGTCCGGCCCGTTCGACGTCGACGAGTACAACGTTAACGTTGACGGACGGATCTCGCTCAACGTCCGCGCGCGTATCGCTCACCCGCTGCTGCAGACTGACGAGGACGCCGAGACCCACTTGAACGTGCAGTTCCAAGGTGTCACTCCCACGGAGACTATTCACGGTGTCATGGGCCAAACCTACCGCACGGGACGCGGACAGCGCGCTTTGGATTACTCAGCGCTTGCTCAGCTGCTCCACCACCCGGTGGCCGCTGACGGAGTCACTGGAAAGGGATTCCTTGACGGCGAGCCGTCTGACTACGAGACGTCGTCCGTATTGGCCCCTGACTGCAAGTACACGACGTACCAGGGCAAACCCCTGCCGGAGGAGAAGGAATATGCTGGTGTGGAGTATCTTGTGAAGGATCTTGTGGAGGTGTAATGTAGAGCTCGATTAGGGTGATCCCCGTATGTTGGGTTCATTTGGGTTGGAGATCCGTTCTACGGTATGTTTCTGCTTTCACTCAGGCCTATGTAAAGTAAGACTGGAAAATAATAATATGCTCGATACGTTTGTTACGCTTGTGACTTGTGCTAAAGCTTGATGTATTGGCTCGTGCTTTTTATAGACGCTGTCTGGCTGTTACTCAATCAGAGATATTCCGTTAGTACAGAGTGGAGTTCATTACTGTGCGGGCTGCAGGACTACTATGTAATAGGGTAGCATTGTTTGTGTACACAGACGAAAATTTTACAGCCACCAAGCGCACGTTTCGGTCGTTTGTGATTTGTCAGGACTCAGGAAACAATTGTACCTTTGCAACCTTTCGGAACGGGAGCGCTGCACAGTGCCACGTCACCCCACTCATCGTGTTGCGCACTTCACCAAGCAACGGAAAGAAATAAATAAAAAGTAGGGTTAAGCCGAAATATAAGGGTACATTCCGCTGTGGACACTGTCCCAATCGATGTGTCCCAATCGATGTGTCCCAATCACGATTTGGGCGAGTCGCACTCAAATGTCTCGAGTTTGCATGTCCCAATCGATCGATGTATTGCGACTCTGTACAGACGCGCGACAATTATGTGCGAACCACTGTGATTGGTCAACGAATAATCATGCCCACTCGTCCTTGCGCAGCACATACACCAACACCTCCAGGTCCGCGGTAGTGTATTGGTGATGTCCAGGGAGGCCGCGGAGGGTACAGTACTCCTCCGCAGTGCCAATAATTGCCTCAACGGCACATACATCTGCAACTCCTCTTCTAGTACGTGAGTTTTTATAATCAAACATAGCACAGACACCATTACTACACACGCCGAATCCACGCATGATGGCAGAGCCTAGAGCCATCCCCTTCATCCTACGCCTCCTCGTCGCCTGGGTCACCTACTACTACACCATTTTCTACGAAAATGTCGCGAAGTCCTTCGTAGGCCTCATAGAGTCCGGTGTGTTTGAGGACGCGGACGAGCAGTCCTCATCGTCCGGGGACGACACCAGGGAGAACCGCCGTCACAGAGCGAGTGTACGGCGGCGACGTCATGCTTTGTGGGTTGAAGACCTGCAACACATGCGGGAGAACGACTTCCAAGACATATTCAGGATCAACCGCGCCATACTTGAGCATGTAAAGTCTGGGATGCGACAATATCTAGAGCCCATCGTCCATCGGTAATCACAATGGACACTGCTTTGCTCATCCCAATAAAGTACTTGGCGAGTGGGATTTCATTCGTCGACATGTCGTACCTGTTCGGTGTCTCCAAGACACTCTGCCACGAGCTTGTTGACGTGTTCCTCACCGAGCTCCCCTCTGTCTTCAAGGCCGCCTGAGTGCGCTTTCCCCCACGCGATGAACTTCCCGAGATGGCGCGTGAATTCGCTGCCATCAAAGGTGTACCTGCAGTGGTGGGGGCTGTGGACGGGACTCACATCCACATGAAAGGGATGGAAGGGCACAGGGCGGAGTACTGGACAAGGAAGTCGGCCTACGCCGTTCAGCTCCAAATCACGTGTGATGCACGAGGCAGGATATGGGATTACCTCATCGGCTATCCTGGCAGCGCGCACTACATGCGGGTTTTCAAAGAGTCTGCACTACTCGAGAGGTTACACAACGGGGACATAGCCCCATACCAGATTGTTGGGGATGCGGCCTACCCGCTACGAGAATACTGCCTAACCCCCCTGCATGCACCGCGCGGAGAGGTCCTAATGGACGATTGGGCCCAATGTTTCAACTACTGCCAGAGCGCCACCCGCATGGCGGTGGAACGGTGCATCGGCGCCTTGAAAGGGAGATGGCGCATCTTCGGCGGGCGCAACGACTGCAGGTTGTGGCGCATTCTCGCAGGAGCCGCGTGTTGTGTGATCCTGCACAACTTGTGTGAAGAGATGGCAGTCGTTAGGCGCAAGAACATGGCCTGGTTCAATCTGCCCCGCAACCGCGACTCTTGGTGGACACGGGGTGCCATTGCGACACACAAGTGGGAACCCTGTGTTCCCCCAACACAACAAGCACTGAGAGAGAGGCGGAAAAGACTGGGTGAGGCCCTGCAGGACTCTTACGCTAATCGTCGGCGCCGCGCACCCATATCTCCACATCCTCAGCTCCCGGAGTGACGGTGTTGACGTCGCCAACATCGTCGCCATGCTGTGCGGCTTCGGGAGGAGGTGCGGACTCCCCGCGTGGCGGAGGAGGGCTGAAATCCGGCGGCGCACGGTGCACGTCCGGGGGCGCCGATTCACTCATGCGCTCGCGGGCAAGTCGCATGTCCTGCGCCATCCATTCACGGACGAGGCTCTCAATGCGCGTCATCGCGTCTCCGTGACAATCCTTGATGGTCGCGGAGACCAGCTTGGCTGCTTGCATGGTAGCCGTCTCGTGCACCCGTGCGCGCCTAGGTGTTGCGGTGGTCGGCGGCGGCGGAGCTGTGATAAAGGAGCGGGGAAAATAGTAGTTTCGATTAGTCCTACTACCCTTGTTTGATGTAACCTGCATATTGGCGAATAAAATAAACGGAATCACCGTATTCAAACTACGATAAGTCAAACGCAAAGCAAGCTAGAGTTCATAACAACACGACTCACCCGTAAATGTTGGTGTTGACGTGCCTGGCTGAGACGAACTTGGAACCTCCGTGCCGGCCGGCACGTTGACGTCCGTGGCGCCGCCACCGTCCACCGCATGCGGTGCGGCTGCGGCGGTGTCCTGGTTGTGCAGCTCCAGGTACGGATACCACGGTGGTTTCTCAACCGAGCCGTGGCCTGACCCCCCGTCGCCACGCTTGTACTCCCGCCAGAGGAGCGTCAAGTTACGCCACTGCTTCTGCAACGCGTTGACACCCCTGCACCATCCAGGGTTCGACTCCTTGATGTGCGCGAGTAGTCGGACCCAGTATTGCGTCCCCTGCTTCCCCTTGAGAGGCTCGAGCTCCTCTTTCATGAACCACTTCGCCGCGGCGAATATGGTGCTCTCCTTGTCCGAACATAAGCCCCTCTCGACTGGTGCAGCCGACCGCTTCTTCTGTGGCTCCTGGCGTGGCGGTGGTGGCGCCGCCTTGCCTTTGCCTTTGTTCGTCCCAGATGCGCGTGCGGCGCTCCGTTTCGTAGTCACAGACACAGGTTGCGCTTCCTCCTCCGCGTCGTCCTCGGCGTCCTCATCTTCGTCGTCGCCGTCGCTGGGCGACATCCCAGCGTCTTCCGGTTCCTCCTCGTCGTCGTCGGTGTCGAGGCCTTGTTCGGGGTCGTCATCATCGTCATCGTACGCATCTTGCTCCACGACAAGCCGGTGTGTTGCAGCCGTCCTTGCAGGCTGACGACGCACACGTGACATGGCCGCACTGGGCGACTGTGCGGTGGATCCCTGGCCGTCAAGCACGGGCGGCGCGGATAATCCCTTCGGATGGCGCCCGTTGGCGATCTGCTGGTTCATCCAGCGGATGTAAGGGATGTCGTCAAGATCCTTGGGGCAGTCGTTAAGGGCCTGCCCCTTACGCTTACGAGCCATGCTGGCAAATAGAGTGCTTCTAGATCTAGATCTTTAGGGAGCGGGAGCAGAGAAAAATGAACAGATTGGAACAGGAAGGATGGTGCACGAAGATGAACCCGCAAGGTGTTGGGAGGTGGAGGAGTTGTGGGGAAGGAGCATTGGAGCTGGGGGAAGGCGCGCTGGCGGGGACGTGCGCGTCCCTGTCAATAATCCCGGGTGTGTCGTCTGGACAAATCACTACGCAGTGTACGCGTTGATGGGGATAGTGGGTTTTGGGGAGATGTCGTCTAGATACATGCTGCATGTGTTGACATTTGGCACCGCGTGCGACTGATGGATTGTGTTGCAATTAGCTGGCGACTGCTCCGTGTTTCACGTCCCCCAATGATAAATACATTTGGCGACAACCACGGGCGGCCCGGCATTCTGACACCTGGCAGCATATGCTGTACGTACGCGTCACAATCGATTGGGACACATCGATTGGGACAGTGTCCACAGCGGAATGTACCCTAAGTGTTTGAGGCGAGTCTGACAAGAGGCCAGCCTCTGACTAGAGGCCGTAGGAACATGCTCTGATTTTCCAGCCTTATTTTCTTAGCAACACTGATGGATCAGCGTCAGGCCCTACGATATCAGGAATTTCTCCCTGAAATTCCTGATTTTCAGGGATTGTTTTGTACATACCCTGATTTTCCAGTGTTCAGCTTTTTAGGGGACTGATTTTCCAGCCTTTAGGGTCCAGATGACTCTGAACTTTCAGGTTTTTATTTAAAGGGACACTGATTACACTACGTTGTAACAAAACTGACACCGAATGCGATTCATACACGTTCCGAGTGTAGTTGCCCGGAAGTACATGGAATCTCAGATTCCCGCGGTGTCAGCACCGCCTGGCGGTGACTACGGTACCAGAAAAATTTGCCCCGTGTTATTCGCTTTGCGGCTGCTTTGTTGGCGCGCTTGGTCCGATCATTGGCCACTTTTGCAGCATTATATGGGTCGAGCAATGACAAGGTTGCAACAGAGCGATGCTGGCAGGCTGCGATGCGAGGGTTTCTGGCCCATTGCTTGCACATGTGGTCCTGTGGCCCGTTTGTCAAACATATGTGTATATATGTTATAGTTTGGTTAGGCTTAGTGGGGTACTCACTGTGGGGTACAACCCCTTAGGTTTCTCCTTTGTACCTTTCACCTCGATAGTCGACACTCACTTTTCCCGTAAGATTCTAACATGGTATAGAGCATAGGTCCTTAGGACCTAGGATTAGGGCCCACCACGCTTGCCTGCCTCGTCTAGTGCCTACGCGCGCCTCGGCTGCCTGCGCGCGCCTCGGGCGATCCATTTTTTTCCCACGTGCGCCATTTCAGCAGCCCGCGCAGCCCGTTTCGGCCCCACCTGTGCGCCCCTTAAGCCGCCCGCGCGCATTCTGGATAGGTCACG